ACTACTACGTGACAAGTTATTCTCTTTACATTCACGTCAAGCCATAGCTATTTCAATATCACCTCAACTTGTATTTAAACAAATTGACTGGCACTACTACGTGACAAGTTATTCTCTTTACATTCACGTCAAGCCATAGCCTTTCAATATCACCTCAACTTGTATTTAAACAAATTGACCAGCACTACTACGTGACAAGTTATTCTCTTTACATTCACGTCAAGCCATAGCCTTTCAATATCACCTCAACAGCTGTTGAAGGACATTATTGTCGAAATTCTTACACAGGGTCGTATATGCAATGTTCTCCACGGAAAGTACCAGTATACACCTAACTTTGCGAATAACAAAGAAGAAAGATAACGTGATCCAAGATGAACTTAACGATTTTGTTGACCGCGAGTTATGTGAAACCTATACATGTTAGAATAAACAACGAGAAGATAGAAACCCATAGTTTGTTCATATACCACATTTTCTGTTTTCTCTGCCTCCGACTTTTCTCAAGCCGATAATTAACGCGTTAGTTATCGTTTAGTAATGTGCTTCTGCCTGCGAGACATCAAATTCGATCACTTTTCTTTTGAGAAATCACAAAATAAATAATCACAGGTCAAGCTTGGCTTTCAGCTAAAATGTCTTGTAGGTCAAGATTAATTATTCGTGCTATTACTATGGTATATATCAATATATACATAAAACACAACTCTCTCACTGCATGTGGAGAAATATTACGCCTTGTAAGTGTACTGACAATAAGAAACTAGCCAAGATTATGCCTTCCTACTCTACTAGATCAGGTTTTGCCTCGGAGAAATCACTTGATAGCTCAGAAAATCAAGGGTCACAAAGCTCATTCAATTGTGTTTTCGAACTTTTAAATATCTCACTGGTGACGCACTAAGTATTATGTTTACTAGCATCAGCCATTCTATTTTTATGGTAATCAAGTGGAAATCACATAATGTAGTATTTATTGTATGGTGGACATCATTTGATAAGTTGAAAAGCATGAATTGCCACTTACTTTCAGTCATCGGGTTCTTAATCTTATGATCATCTCAGTTTCATAAAACCGCATTAAGTGGTCCACGCACAATGACTCAAGACCAGAGATGATAGCATATACAGCAATGAATCAGGGATCAACAGGTTGTTCTCGAAACTACTCATTATGTCAAATCCACAGGGAGAACCACTTTCCGTCATATATGTCAAATCCACAGGGAGAACCACTTTCCGTCATATACTGAGTTGATCTCAGCCACTCTACATACTCTTGGAGAGCTCAAAAACTTCTTCTTGTGGTAGAAGACCATTCTCAGCCACTCTACATACTCTTGGAGAGCTGAAAAACTTATTCAAAGTCTTTGTTTATAAAATTATTATAACAGGTGACGTTGAATTCCAAGTTTTTGTTTATAAAATTATTATACCAGGTGACGTTGTGTTCCAAGTCTTTGTTTATAAAATAATTATACCAGGTAACCATCCAGTAATGATTAGCACATATGAATTTACTCGACTAACTCAGAAAGGCAGCATGCTAACAGAAGTGCTGTGACTGGACAATGAAAGGTTGTATGTCCAATGCAGTGACTGGATATGGTTGTGGTACCTGCAAGCTGTAGAAAGCAATTTGGATTTGGCTAGATGGGTCAACACCTGATTCTCGAACAAGTTGGTTTTCCAATGGATGAGCCACAGTGAGTGGGAGGCATGTCAAAGTCCACGTCAATAAGCTGCATCCATACATCACAGACGGGCCTTTGGTGTACTGGCTTGACTAGGAGTCTGGAGAGAAAACCAATGAGTTGAAGGATGACGAGAATATCGTCTCGAGTCATTATCACTTTCCAGAAGACAGAGAGGAAGCTCCAGGGAATGTTTCGGACAGTCTTTGATGAATCAGATGAGGAGTCCCTGAAAATGGAAGCAACTACCACCTCTGACTGGTAGAGGAGATTCCAACATCAGCATAATGGTTGAGATGGATGGGGCTGATAATCAAAGCTAGTATAATCATGAGGCCGGGCACCTGATGGTTGAACGAAAGTGCTATTCCTTTCTAGCCAAGGAAACCACATGTATTATATTTACTATGTTGTGAGATTCCACCTGACATTCAACTACTATACCATCCTAGCTTTAAACAATCAGAATGCATTGTGCTTCGAATACTACTCGATAGTTTGGAAGGCAAGGGGTTTCTACACACATTCAGTTAGCAGTCATTCAACTACTATACCATCCCAGCTTTAAACAGACTGCTAACTGAATGTGTGTAGAAACACCTTGCCTTCCACACTATCGAGTAGTATTCGAAGCACAATGCATGCAATATATTTTGTGGTTGCCAGTTAATTACTGACAGATAGGACAGTCACGGAGGAACTGAAAGGAAATGTTATTCCTTGCATTGCACGCTATCTGGTGGTATTGAGATGTAATACGTACTAAATTGTAGTATTATCACTTGATTATCAACAGTTAGGGCAATCATGTGACTGACAAATTAGTGATTGAAAAATTTTTCAACTTTGCTTTTCTAACATAGACTGAGTGGATTTTCTGATACTAAACATTGTCTAATGTTTCAACAAAATCACTACCACAATCTAGATGAGTGGCGAGAAACCTGTATGGATTAATAGATCGTGTCGTGTGAATTTTAACAGTGACTATTTATTTTATGAAGCCTGAAATATAAATGAGTTGAATTTGATGTCCCGTAGATCAATATACCTCAATCACTGGTTCGAGGACCAGCGCCTGTCCATCACAATCACCTTGCTGGGATTTCAAAAAACAAACAAAAACTAATAAAGTATCCACGTCTAAATCGTAATGCTTTATCGTTGTACCCAGTCAGTTTAGGGAGGCGCAAGCTGGGACCTGGTATTAAAAGGTCTGGACACGCTGACATAGATGACACTATCATTCCTACCAAGCATGAGTTCAGTAGGTAACTCAAACAGAAGATAGCTGTATAAACTACAAGAGCATTTGAGACGCAAAATGGAGGTATAGGTATATGGCAATATAAATTTTCGAACAAATACATGTGTATTGAACACGTGCTATAAAAACATTAAATGGAGTTTTTCATAAGTGTTTTGAGAAACATTAACTCTATATGCATGGATGGAAGTCAACGAACTTTTAAAGAGTACCACTTGATATAGTATTATGTATTTTATATGAGTGTTATCAACTGCTCATTTTACCTTTCATTGCTGATTTAGTGACATTTCTTGGTAGAAGCTATAGTTATGCATTTCAGAGGTTGCGCAGTCGCAATATGCAAGCTGTACGATGAAAAAAAATATTTTTATTCTTCAAATGAACATCACCTTGCACTCTGACTGTACAGAGTCAGAGCCAGAATTATTTTGAAATTTTAAAGAAGTGCTTTTATTATGAAAATTTCATAGCACATCTGATTTTCTCTGTATAACAGACTTGTACAATTTAATAAAAGCTTGCCACATTAGTGTCAACATTTCTTGTCCACTGTGGAGTTAGTAAAATGCACATTTGGTTAAGACGCAAATGAATGAATTACATAAGAAGTATGGTAATATATAAGAACGATATAAGAAAATAATGAGAGCATGGAGCAAATGATTTTATGTCCATGTTAAAAGTGATCAGTATGTGGTTAATTGTAATGAATAACCTGGAATAAGTAAGTGTGCACCTTGACCATGTCGATGTTAAAAGTGATCAGTATGTGGTTAATTGTAATAAATAACCTGGAATAGAGTAAGTGTGCACCTTGACCATGTCGATGTTAAAAGTGATCAGTATGTGGTTAATTGTAATGAATAACCTGGAATAGAGTAAGTGTGCACCTTGACCATGTCGTGTTTACAAGTGATCAGTATGTGGTTAATTGTAATGAATAACCTGGAATAAAGTAGGTGTGCACCTTGACAATGTCAAAAGCTGTTAAAAGCTATTATGGTTAAAGTTAAATTTAAATGTCGGCTTGAAGACAAGCCTGAAACAGAGGAGGAAAAGTGTGACAAGCAAGAATAACACAATGTTTACTACCTCCTTTAGTGATACATGTTTATTTGTTTATTTCACGTGTATGCAGTTTTAGCCTACACATTTGGACCGGGAAGTCACTGAGATTGCCTTGATTCTAATTTATTTGTTCCCTGTAGCAGATAATGTCTATTTTGTCTAAGAGGATATTGTAGGAACATATAACATCCGGGTTCAAAGAATTGGCATTTTAATATCCTTTGCAGGCCGAGTTGACGTTATAATAAAGATTGTTTTCATTTTGACCAAATGTATCTCAATTTAGTTATTAGGTTCGGAATTGTCAGGAAATCAGTTTTGACCTGAAAGTACCATACTACAATAACATAAAATTTAATGTTAATAAGAAATTTTGATCTTTTAATATAACTTTTAAACCTACACATGGGTACTGATACAATAATAATATCAAGCTTAATGTTTATACGAAAGTTTTGATCTTGTAATATCAATAATTTTTTACGTTAAACTGATTTAATGATACTAAAGCTAAGTGGTTTGTGCTTATATTTTTCTTGCATAAAAATTCGTTTAATTCTAACTTATAACTTTCAAGTACCTTAATGATGACACTACAGTATTATCACAATTTAGTCAAGATGAGATAACTCACTCTTTCCTCCAGAGGCATGGAGAGGATATACTCTCGTCGAACATTCCTAAACATCTCGTATAGCCCACTCATTATCGTACCACACATGGCCTGCTCCTTGATGTTCTTTCCTGCCAAATCTACACAAACAATCGTGATAACCGAAAACATGAGGAAGTTACCGCTGTTTCTAGAAAAAACTTCAATATATTTACAAAAACAAGCTGATTGATGGTTAGGCCTGTCTTACCTATGAGGGATTCAACATACTCAACATTTTCATAAGTGTGCATAACGTTCGTAGGAGGAGGAGGGATTGTGAGGGTGAATATCTAATATAGCTTTCTCAAAGTATAGAAATGTTGAGGGTAGCTGATATCGCCCTCTGACGACAAAGATTTAAATTATCCTGTAAGGCAAATGGAAGTGACAACGTACACGAGCTCGTAAGATAACGTTATTTGAATGGTGCAAGAAAGAACACACAGCTGTTCATAACTAGCCTAAACAATTTGTATCATAATTTTATTAATGTGTATTTTATTCACGACAAAATAAAGCTGCTTCTATGAGAATCAGAGAGGGTGAGTTTTGTTTCTCTCAGTGGGTGATCGTGTTGTAAAAACAGTGAGGTGGGGATGAAGTGTCATTTTCGCCGTGCAAACAAAGAAACATTTTTGATTGAACTACTTATGTCAAGCCCCCCAGTGGCACAGCGGTATGTCTGCGGACTTACAACGCTAGAATCCGTGTTTCGATACCCGTGGTAGGCAGAGCACAGATAGCCCATTGTGTAGCTTTGTGCTTAATTACAAACAAACAAACAAACTTATGTCATAATTACAACAAATTAAATTTTTAGTTTTTACATGTTCGAGTCACATCTCTTGCAATAAGCGTGTCACTGAATTTTCTCTTTATATTAATGTACACGACATTAGCTTGTATCGAAGTGTTAAATGCCGTAAGTCTATACGTCTTTACATCTGACACTCCCTGTTCTTAAACCCCTTTAAACTTCGTGACTTTTTTTGCACAATTGAAGCGCGGGGGTGCTCTAGGTATGAAAGCACCCACAGAGTAAGTACCTTCTTAAAGTATGCAGTAAAGTGAAGAGCACAGAACCCGATGATCAAATCTCACTTACTGAAGTGGCTGAATTGTTCCGAAGAAGGTGCAAGTAAAACAGAACAATTTCAGAGTGAACTTGGCAGTTTAAAAGGTGTAGTATTTCTTGGTAGGTCGGCCAGTAATAATAGCCTCCTAGCGATCTATGTAATAAACTTTATGTCACAGTCAGAGCTAGTATGTCACAAATCGTGAGTTAAAGTTAACGAAGGAAGTATCGATACTGACACCAAAAGTATATTATTTTTATCATAACATGGACAGAATAATACATATAATGTCCAAACGTTTTCTTTTCAGTTTTAAAGGTACTTTTAACATTACATGAACACAAACTAAACAATCTGTTCTATAAGTTTGTCATTAAGTAATAAAAACCAGTGATATATATTGGTGTCTTTACGGTCTTTGGACTCTTTTTTTGGGGGGGTAGGGTGTCATTCAAAGAATTGCTTTCTGTACGCTTGTGAAAAATGCTGAAAATTTTGAACATAATAAACAAGCTAAGCTACTAGAAATAAACATTCATAACTAATGTATTGTAAATGGCATGCTGGTGTAACTGAAAAACTTATATAAAAAACTTACATTCACTCTTAAGGTATGCAGTTGTTTTTACTTAGTTCAGGAAATTAGAAAAAAACAGTCAGATTGTTACACCTGTAACCAACTACCATAACAGAGAAATTGTTTCGGAACAATGATAACTGTTGTTTTTTAATTATAAACAAACAGAATTGTTTCAAATTGTAATTAAAGGTAGCGTATTGAAAGAAGCTTAAAAATCACACCTAGTGTCTCATACACTGACATAGGGATAGAATCCATGCAGGTGTCCGACGTGAGTGTTAGAAACACTAATAATAACGTTTGTACTGTAACTTATTAGGATTAATGTAGTAACCAGCCCCCAAAAGAGAGAGAGAAATAGAACAATTGAAATGTTGGAGGTTATATATATATATAGTACATTTATTTACATGACAGTTAAAACGCTATTTATTCACTCAAATAATCCATGGCGTACATGCATATATTCGGGTTACAGTAATTCTAACTTCTGGACACTTAGTTAATCTCTAAGTGAAATATATTAAGATTCAAGAAGTTTCCTTTCTTTCAACTACAAACACTTAGATATCCATATTAAATTCAGAACTAAAAATAATTTGGAACACTCGTTGTTGTTACCTAGATGGATGGCTAGGTATGGACACAGAGCTTGACCAGCTGCTACTAGTTGTCCATCTTCCTCTAGTATGGGAAGAAGGCCGAATGGCGCAGCTAGAAAGAGAAAAAAACAACAACAAAAACGTATTATAATGTGGACTGGAATAAGGAAAATAAAGTATTGCGATATATAATGGAATAAGTAAAAAATGTATTATAATATCGGCTGGAACAAACAAAACTAAAATAAAGTATTGCGATATATAATGGAATAAGTAAAAAATGTATTATAATATCGGCTGGAACAAACAAAACTAAAATAAAGTATTGCGATATATAATGGAATAAGTAAAAAATGTATTATA